CGTTCGATGTTGAAGATTCGATGTATGAAGATTGTAAGAGCATATGATGGAAATTAAATAAGCGCATTAATTACAGCGCAGATTCCTAAACGCCTGGTTAAGTTTATATTTATATAGTTTTTACTCTCAGATATTTAATCTAAAGAAGTATGTAGGATTTTTGGGATATATTGAAGACTTTTTTGTTATTAACATTAAAAGATGAAATTTTTTTATCGAAAATGTTACTTTTTTTCAAACATTTACCATTTTTACAAAAATTAATAATTTTGAAATAATTCTACGTACTTCTCTAGCTTTAAGTATGTAGATAATAAAACTTTTTAGATTTTTGTTATCTACATACTTAAAGCTAAAAAGGTGTAGAAAATTCCGTGTACACAGCATATGCATTCGCCAAAAAAAGGAGGCTTGATGCTGCTGATATAGCGTCGCCATTTTGCGTGATAAAAATTCAGAAAAATTTTTTGTACTTTCGAAAGTTCATATAGTAAAGCCCTTAGAAATGATTTTTGGTTAAATTTATTAATTTACTGCAAAAAATTACTAAAATTAAATATTATTTTTAGGTTTTAAGGATGTTCCTCCTTAAATTCTTTAACATATTTATTTTAATAACTAATGTTATCAGAATTATGTGTAATAGAAATTCACATTCTTTTGTTTAGCTTGAGTATAAATAATTTTTCCTTTTACCACGCATAAATACAGTTCTCCGAGAGACGTCTTGGGGACAAGAACTGTGTTGTGTATAGGATATAATATGTCAGTTAACATTAATTCATTTAAATTTATATATTTTATGTTAATTTATTGATTTACGGTCATTTACTTATTTACAATTATACATTTCCATAGCACAAAGTTTTCTAGATTCTGGAATTGAAATTTATGTTGTTATTCTTTGTGTCACTTTTCTATTAATTTTTGGGAGTTGCAATTGCAAAATAACAGTTACACTTGCAGTTGTATGCATAATAAGCCAATCTCTTTAGACTTTAAAAAGGAAATAATTCCCAAAAAGCTATTTCTTGTTTTAAGTGCTTTATTTAGGTATAAATATTATAGATTTTATTTTGCGTTCACTTTTTCAGATCGGAAGAAAGTAATACAGTCGAATCTCTATAAAAGTAACTTGTCGGGACCGACCGACCTCTGTAAAAGTAAACAAAGACGCATTTCGGTTACTATATGGGAGGTTAAGACCTGACTTTTACGAAGGTTAAAACAAAACGGAAGTTAACTTTACGGAGGTTCAACTGTATAAGCTAAAAATGTTATGATTTTTTATTCTTTGTACTATATCTACCAAATTATACAGAAATCAATAAAAGTCGTACAGCACTTTTTTTGTATAATTTGAGACCACCAAGCGGAGCTCTATGCGACAAATAGTTTCAACGATACAGCGCGAGCGGTTTAAAGTTTTATAGTAAAAGATAAGAATTAACCGCTTGAAAATATCAATTTTTTATATTTTGCCTCCATAAACGTTTCCGACGTCTTTGACGAGGAAACTGCATACGACGTTATTTGAAGTAGACTTTATGACGAAAAAAATGCGACTATAGAGAGCATTCTGCGATTAACAGACTCGGAGAGTACAAAATCGTGAATGGATCTAAAATTGCTTTTTTTAAATCCAGTTTTTAATTTCGCTGTTGTAATTGCTATTATGCATGCAACTGCAAGTGCAACTGTTATTTTGCAATTGTTTACCGCAACTCCTAAAAATTGATAAAAAAATAATACAAAAAATAATAATATAAATTCCAATCGCAGAATCTAGAATATAGAAATGTACAATTGTAAATAACTAAATTATAAATAAATAAATTAACATGAAATATATTAATTATAGATTAGTACAGATAAAATTTGAATTTAAAAAGCCGAAGTTTCCTGCTGAAAATAGGAAAAGTGAGCAACTGTGATTGTAATCTATCTTTTTAAATTATTTTTGCATATTTATTATATATTCAAGTACATAAAGATGAAAATGTGTCTTTGCTAGCTTAAGGGGGTATTCTAATCTAGCGGGTAGAAAAAAATCGATTTTTTTTACATATTTTGCAAGTAATTGGTATAGAAAATATGTCTGTAAAAGGAATTAGCTCGATTCATAAAATTAACAAAGTTATTGCACTTGATAGGGAGCGATCTTCGGCTCGTTTTCGCAAAAAAAATGAAGTTCGAAAGATATTGACTTTCCTATTTCAAAAGAATTTGGTGATGAGAAGAAGAAGAATGAAGAAGCTGGAAATGTTGCAACATTTAACAGTTTCCGGCGACAGAACATGGAAAAAAAAGAGGATTCTAGTTGATTGATTTTAAGTAAAATTAACTCTATATAATCAGTACGAAAAATTTTAAACGCGTTTTTTTCGAAATCATGTTTTTCAAATTGGCTCCCACTGATATCTTGAAAATCAGTTGACCAATTGGGTATTTGCACACATCTTCAGCATATATATGGCTATAGCCCGTACTAGGATCAAGTCGAAGTATATATTTTTGTAATTTTTACAACCATTTTGGTGGAAAAAAAGGCAAAAATCGAAACTTAATTTTCGACATAACTACATTTTTTAAATTATCAGTATTTTGTCTTCGTTCTAGTATCTGCTATAGCCAAACTTATATACAGTCTATCAAGTAAGAGCGTGGTCGACTTTACTGATAGGTAATAAAAGATATCGCTCTAATTCCTTCGTGAGCCGATAGAGGGAAGCTTTGTCCTTGATGCATT